TTTTTTTTTTTTTTTTTTTTTTTTTTTTTTTTTTTTTTTCCACGAGGACTTTCTTTCACATGTCAATGGCTGGTAAGGTTTTTCCATTGTATCGAAATAAACCACATGCTCCTTCACCGCTTGTGAAGGCCCCTTCGTCAAGTCCAACGAGCATAAACATTTGTGGCAAAAAAGTATTCACGGGGCGGAGTGTGTAATGTGGCGTTTTTTTTGCCTCCAAGTGAACGTGACTCTGAAAAGTTATCGGATCAGGTTTGAGCTCCTGTAGGCAGGACGTTTTCTGTTCGTTTTTCTCAACATGCGGTGGGATCGGTGCGAAATTATATTGCCTGGCGTCCTGTCCAGATACATGTTGTAGAGCGAGGGTCATTCTTGGGCTTGCACCTCGGACAGCATTGTTACTCTTCGCGAGCCAAAACCCAAACCCATAACTTTTCCCCGGAATGTAGGGACGGCGCAGAAGAGCATAAGATCTCAGCAAGGCCACTTCATCTGCACGTTGCTTTCCTCCCGGCTCAGAAAGGATGAGTATCAGGACCTACAAATTCCATCTGGTCCATGGTCGATCAGGCCACACGATGCCAAGTAAAAGAAAAAACAAAAAAAAACAGGGCCCATTTGACGCCGATTCGTGAAAAGTACGTGCGGTGGTTGTCCGCTGCCGATCCGCAAAGATCAGCGGGGAAGGAGATCCTCCGCCTGTTCTTTCCACGGAGCGGGGTCCAAAAACCCTGATTTTTTTCGAACTTTGATGAGGCAGCAGCAGCAGCCTCCTGGGATGGGGCAATCGCAGGGATGGCCGTGACTTTCCGGTACCTCCCCTCCCCTCACCCCCCCCCCAAAAAAAAAAACACTCTGATGCACTGCTGGGTTTGGGGGTCTGCCGGGCCGATCGACTGCCCGGTCCGACTGGCAGGCTCCCAGTTGGGGGAGGGGACTCCGGTCCAACCGAGGACCAGCGCTGTTATAGACCGTTATTCAACTCCTATTATATTATATAACATATAATAAATATATATATTATAATGGCCCTGGTAGCTCATTTTTGTATCCTGATAAGGGACGCTGTTGCTTCCCACGTCTAGATTGGAGCATCGTCTCATTTAAAAAAAAAAAAATTAAAAAATAATAATAATAATAATAAATAAATAAAGAAGGAAATTCAAGAAAATGATGAACTTCTGAAACCTTAGAATTACAAAATCCAGAAAAGACAATAAGTCCATGAAATTTCATACACCATGACAGAAAAGGACCAAAAAGAAACAAGGCTGCGCCCCTCGGAACACAATTGCACGCATCCACCACATTACCAATCTTGCTGCTTCGCTTTCTCCTTCAGCCTTGATAATCGCTGCTCGTCTCTCTTGCTCTGCCTTCATCACAACAAACTTGGATCTCTCCGCTTCCTGTTGAGCTGCATGAGTCGCAATCACACACACACACACACACACACACACACACACAAACACACGAACACACACACACGGACACGCACACGCAGACGCACACACATGCACAGACACGCACACACGCGCACATGAAGTGGGAAAGGTCCCAAGAACACAAGGCAGTCGGCACCGATTCTCGCAAAAAAGTCGTGTCATAAAAGAGAAACTAAAGAATGTCCATCCTGACATCCGTTAAAATGGGAACGATACGGAGAGAGAGAAGATTAGCAAGGGCCCTGCGCAAGGATGACACGGATAAATGGAGAAGTGGTACAATTTTTTTTACTTTTTTTTTTTTGGACAAAATGAAAGAGCAGAGGAAAGAGAGAAGAGGGGTAGAAAGTAACGGGAGAGAGAAGAGAAGTGCAAGCACCTACTGCCTACTGCCCAGTCCAAATGACTCAATGCGCCAACCCACACTACAAACACGTTGTCCTCCGCCGCAATCGAAACCACAAACACATGTTTGCTACAAACAAGTTGTCCTCCGCCGCAATTGGAACTACAAACACGTGTTTGCTTAAGCCACCGGTACACGCTTCCGAGCCATGTTCCTCCAACGCGGCTGCGCATGCACGCCGCAACTTTCGGGCGTCGGCTGCCAGAGCAAAAAGGCTATAGCAGCACCGGCCAAACGGAGGCCAGCACCACTTCGTGTTTTTCGTTCGGTGCACAGGGCATTTCTGGCCTCCGGAAAACGAGGCTCCGAGGTACTGGTGGTTCCAAAAGATTATCAAATCACCAGTACCTTTACGTTTTTAGGTCGTTAACGCGGTGGCTGAATCCGGGTGCCGCGCGGGTCCATATGCATTTGCGTCAGAGCCTCCCCATAGGGGGGCTAAGACCCCCTGGGGTACTGGTGGTTTAAGCTTGGAGCATGACAACACTCGTGTCCGTGGTTTCTTTTGCGGGAGGCCTTATTGGACGGAGGAGCATAGGCCACAGGACTCTGCTTAAACCACCAGTACCTACCGGTTGCGGAGGCCCGACCCTGAATATGCCCTGCGCGCCGATTTTTGCCGAGCCTGCAGGTGGTGGGAAAAAACATGGGACATTTGTTGCTCCAAGCAGGTACCGCCCCTTACACTGGACCTGCTGCCAGCAGATGGAACGTAAACAGGCCAATGTTTTCTTGTTTCCACTCACGTGACGAATGCTCCTTTCTTGTTTCCACTCACGTGATGAATGCTCCTTCTGTCTGAAGGGGAGAGAGTTCAGATACAGCCAAGGATCTTTTTCCCCAAAAAAAAAAAAAAAAAAAAAAAAGGGGAAATAGGAAACCAGGCTCTGTATGTCATTGCCCTCAGATTCATTGACAGTGGTGCACAAGTGAAGCCAGATACATTCGTGAAAGTTGCAACGTTACACTGTGCCCTGGAATCCCAAGAGCACAAACAGCCAAGGATCTTCTTCCAAAAAAGGAACCAAAAAAAAAAAAAAAAAAAAAAAAAAAAACGACTCTGTTTATTTTTTCTCACGTTACCTTTTGTTTCTTTCTTTGTTCTCCTCGTCACCTCCAGTGTCCGCGCGTTTCCACATAGCAACACCACCAGGACATCGTGCACCCCCTTTTGTCCCCTTCCCATTGGGCCACCAGCTCCCTCCCCCATTGCCATGCCAAGCCCTAGCCGGACCCCACAAATCGCGGCGCGTTAACGGCCGCCTCAAAAAAAAATAGCAGGGTCAGGTACTGGTGTTTAACTACTGGGTTTTAGTTAAACCCAACAAGGGTTTCTGGTTTAACTACTGGGTTAGTTAAACCCAACAAGGGTTTCTGGTTTAACTACTGGGTTAGTTAAACCCAACAAGGGTTTCTGGTTTAACTACTGGGTTAGTTAAACCCAACAAGGGTTTCTGGGAACCAAAGCTGCTGCGAGTACGGAGAGGCAGAACTACCATCTTCCCCCGCACACGACACCCCCCTCATCCTAGCTGTACGTGACCAGAACAATAGCTTGTATACACTCATAATGAGCATGCATTGTGTTCGAGGGATAAAAAAGAACTCCAGCGCTGGAGAGTAACCCTCCCCCCACTCACGGCAACCCGCGCCAGCACCTCTGCGCTGCGGCGAAGGGCACAAGGGAAGCCTATAATTCTTGCCACACGCATATTTTTCCCCCGAAGATGGTTCCGACGATCATCATGAATGCATTCGAACCTTGTTCTGTTCCAAATACAGCACGACTCTGGCCCCCCTCACGGACACCCCACCACCAGCACGCCCACTGCCACAAAAGCGCACAAGCGAGGCCCCCCCTATACTTCGTGCCACTCATACTCTTCCCCCGAAGATGATTCCCATCATCATGAACGCATTCAAACCGTGTTCTGGTCCAAATACAGTCATGATCCTCGGGCTTGATATTTAAGGGAGAAAGCTACCCACCTGGAGGGAGGGCGGAGGAAGGACATGTAGCAAGGTAGCAGGCCCTTGTGGGGATTAGCCCGAAGCCTTGGGGCTTAAACCGCCACCAGTACAACCGAGCCTCATTTTGCCGAGGGTGATTCCCTCAGCCTCGCGCCAAGGGGGCCATGCAATTTAAGACTTAAACCACCAGTACCTCCACGTTTTTAGGCCGTTAACACGGTGGCTGAATCTGTGTGCCACGCGGGTCCATATGCATTTGAATCAGAGCCTTCCCAAAAAGGGGCCTAAGACCCCTTGGGGTACTGGTGGTTTAAAGTACGAAAAACGGACTACTTTCTTGACTTTGATTAATAGCAAAATAACTTTAAATAAGTTTAAATAACAACCATTATGTTTAAATTTAAATGTTGGTATTTGTTTCTTTGATGGCCTGAAGTCCTTCAAAGCTATAAAAATCATTAAAAAAAAAAAAAAAAAAAAAGCTATAAAAACCTGAAGGACTCTGTAGCATCCATTGAAGTGTAGTCGAATTTGGCAGAACTGCCCAAGGCACTCGCAGAGCACGCTCTTCACCTTTTTTTTTTTTTTTTTTTTTTTTTTGGCCCGCCAGTTGGTCCGGTGACACTGTTCATCCGATTTTTTCGGAATGACTCATTTTCGATTCTTCTTTTTTTTAAGGGTCATTTTTTACTCTCAAGTGCGCCTGGGCGGTGTTCGTATACAACCTCACCCGACCAAAGGCCTGATCGTGTTATTCACATGAAAGGGAGAGACCGGTAATAGGCAGGGGAACGCACCGTCATCAGAACTGTATTTAGGGCAACTTTCAGTCTAGATACAGTGATAAGTTCTGGATTGGCCAATGCACACACTTACCGCAAAGAACTGGATTGGCGGACATATTCACTTTCGATAGACAGACTACCATCTTCCCCCGAATAGAACGTTAAGGTCATTACAACTGAATTTGGGGCAACTTTCAGTCTAGGTACGGCGACAAGGACTGTACATTTTTATTCGGGGAAAGATGGTCATTGTAGAGCTGAATCTGTTCCTCTACCACGAGGGGCGATCCCGATGGAGCAGAAATTGTTGAATCATCTAATCAGCGAATGATGCTACCAATGGACTGCAGGCACCGAGGAGGAGGGAAGACGAAGGATGGGGCGATCTGTACAATCTCTCCCCCACTCTTCGTGATTTCTGACTTGCCTCGCATCTTGTCCGATTCCACAGAGGCATGTATGGGAATGGTTTTGGTGCCTCGTTATCAATAGGTACATGGTTCACACCAAAAGGGAGAGGGGGAGAGAGAGAGAGAGAGAGAGAGAGAGAGAGAGAGAGAGAGAGAGAGAGAGAGAGAGAGAG